CTCCTTTACACTGGTTCTCAATTCAGCTGTTCGACTTACTCGGGGAGGTTTTTAAGAAATGCAGGTAGATGCCTGAGCCCCAACCCTGACCCCAGAATATCTGGCGGCGGGTAAATCAGTATTTTTTAAAAGTTCCCCATGCAGCCAAGGTTAAGAATCAGTGCTCTATGCAAATGACACAGTCAAAAGCAAAGCAAAGGAGACGTGATTTGGATAAGGCAGCTGCGTCTGTGAGGAGATGTGATTTCAGATGTGGTATTTTAATTCTGTCTCACTTCTAAATTTGCTCTTTTCCTTCATATCTCTGAGAGCAGAGCCTGACATCAGTCCCCATTGCCCTTGAAACCAAATCCAAACTCCTTGACCTGGCTTATAAAGATAGCTCTTCGTGATCTGACTTCTGCTGCTCCGGCCTCATTTTTCAGTTCTCCCTACTCTGCGTCCCAGTGGAGAGTAATCACATGCCAGGTTTTTTCTAGCTTCAAGCCTTTGTAGCTTCCCTACCCCTCTTCTCTGATGCCTAATCTTATCTCCCACCCCTGTACTTGGCCAGCTCTGCTTGTCTTTCAGGTCTTCAGGGAACTTTTTCTTCCCTGCCTCCCCAAAATTAAGTTGGGTGCAATTCCTGTGTACTCACATAGCCCTCTCTACACACCCGGTGACACACTCCATCATACTGCAATTGATCTGTATTACCACTCTGCAGTCTATTAAATTCCACAAAAGCAAGGAGTGTGGCTTATTTACCACTTGATCTCCTGTATTTCGCATGGTTTGGCTCAGTAATATCGGCGGAAAGAATAAATGAATAACTGAACGACTACACAATAAAAGAAGAGAAATTCTTAAGGAACTGAGTCACAGTAAATTAGAGAAACAAGGTCCTATAAATGAATGAATACACAAGGAAAAATAAACTCTTAGTGACTGGTTCACACTAAGCCAGGTGATCAGTTCCTATCCCTATACTCTCTTTCACTTATGGATGTTCTTTAATGCTAGGGATTGGGGAAACTATAGTGGGGAACCAGACTGACTTTCCACCAAAAGGAGCTTAATTTCCTTGGAGATTTGGTCCTGTGTTGTTTGCTCCATAAACAAGAGTAATCAACAGAATGCTAATATTCAAAAAGCAAGAAAAAGGAATATATTTTAATATCTGTTAATGCATATTTTTAGTGAACCTTTATAATCCTATTAATCAATGAAATATTTAAAGATAAAACAGCAGGATATTTGGAATTTCCAAAAAAAAATCCCAGTGGGGGAAAGTGAAGCATCTGGGTATAGATAGGTAAAACAAGATTGGCCAAGTTGATAGCTTCTGAAGCTGGAAGGACACACAGAGGTTCATGATATTATTTTCTTTGCTTTGGCATGTTTGAAAATGTCCAAAATAAAATGTTAAAAAATATATGTAAAAAAATAAAACTGTGGAAGGAGTTTTTTCTCAGCATTGCCACTTGGTTCAATGAGTGTTTTTTTAAAAAAGGCAGCGCTGCATCATCTGGAGCCAACTTGGTCTTGGTCAGTTGAAAAACAGGAATGTTCTCCAAGGTTAGTAAACTGTAATCAGTTCCACATCGTTTTCAGGCCCAAGAGCTTACAAATCACTGCAGTTTTGATTTGTAACTCCATTCATATGTCCACAAGAAATACAGCCTGTGTCGATTTTCCCCTTTATTTGCTTAGCCAAACAATGCTTTTTACACAGCACATTCAGCCCAATCTCAAAACCGACCTTGGGACGCCATATTGCGATCATTGCCACAGCCCTGTCCTTTCAAATTGTTTTCACGACTCAAAACGTTCTTCAAAGGTAGCAAAAGTCAGCAGCACTGTGTTTCCTTTTATTACTCCTAACGTGTGTTGCCTCAAACAGGGGGACTCTTTCTTCTCTGACAGGCCTTTCATCTCAGCCAGGAATGTGCACTGGACGCGGCCCTCAGGCCCCTCCTTTCCAAGTCTTTCCCTCTTCTCCTCACAGCCCGGCCCCTCTCAGTTTCCGCGTCACCCATGTAGCTGTTTCTGGGCTGAGCACGAGGTCTGGAGCGTTTTCCCGCCATCTCTGGGCCTTCGGATCCACCAAGCGCTTCCTCCCCAGGCCCAGTGCGAGCCCGCCGCGGAGGTGCCAGGGCCTCCGCAGGTTCCGGACTCTCGCTGGTCCGCGCTCGGGGCTGCTGGGGTTTCTCATCTGTCGGATGGTGTCCAGCCTTTCCTCCTCAGTTTTTCTAATTAATTCCTCCTCGAGACGCCATTTCTCCCACTGCCTCTCCCAGTGGCTGCAGCCACCTCTCCGTCCCCGCACGGGACCTTCTTTCAGATTTCCCTCCTCTTTCCTTAGCGTTTCTTCCTATTTCGCATAAGTCAGATGTGAAGGTGCTTCAGATCTCAACGATGCCCAATTTCCTCTATTTGCCAAAAGTGGTTTCTTGTTTTGTTTGTTTTGATTTTTTTCTTTTGCATTTTAAAAACTATTCAAATGACCCGTCTCTCCTCTCTTAGAAAGGTCTATAACAATACACCAGCCAAGATTGTTCTTTTACTCCTTAAATCCTGTTCCTTTTACTGTCTGCAGTCTTCTAAAAACTGCTTTCATAGAAATTTTGTTTGCTACTTTGAGATTCCTTCTGTTGCTGTAATCTTTGAGCGTGCCATGACCCCCATTTGATTTTGTCAACAACTAGAAAAAAGTTAGTGTAATTTTATAAAAGAACAGACAGATTTATAAAAGAAATGAAAACACAGAAAATTCATTTCACCCAGATTACAGCTAGTAACTGGCAGAACCTCATTCCATTCCCTGCACAGTCACTCCTTTACTTATTCACTCCGTAGAGATTTAGTAATCACTCATTTTGTGCCAGTGTGCATCCATCTAGATTTTGGAAATGAGCACTTAAGTATAAAAAAGCATAGGATTTATATATGAATAAAATATTTACTTTTCATCTCTTTACTAAAGTGATTTGCAATCATTGATTCTTACTTATTTCAGGCCACTAAAATAATCAGTATACATGTTTGGGTTTCATTGTAAAGCTCTTACTGAACAAATATAAGAGAAATACAAGCTAGACCAAAAGCTTTCCTTAAGTAGTGGTAATTCTTTTCATTCCAATCTTCATAGGGAGGCCCCTTTAAGAGCAAACAGACCAGGCACAAATCCCCCAATGCTACTTAACTAGTCAGGCAAGTTACTCATCGTTTTGAGCCCATTTCTTCATCTTTAAAAGGAGGACAATGGATTTGTTACATATATAAAGCGCTTAGGATAGTGCAAGGTATCTGGAAAGCACTTAATATAGCTCCCTTTTCTTCCCGTCAACTGTTAATTTATCATTTTGCTCACAGTGAAGAGTAAAATGTTTTAGTAATAGGCAAACCAATCTCATTATTTCCTATCCTGCATCAAACTGTCCTAGAAACACCATAAATAAGTGACTAAGTGTATTTTAATTTCAGTACCTCTTTTTTATGTAGCCTATGTTTGTTTGATTGATGTGTTAATGAGATATGAATGACAAGGTAGATGCAGGGCAACAATCCTAGGATGGTTGTAATCCACACCCTGTTAATCACCCTCAATTCATGGAAAGTTGGATGAAAACATTAGCTGAGAAAAATATATTGAGTTTTAGAAATGGGACCTGACCATAATTAGTTGCTTTCTTCTTTGCATTTACTACTTGCAGGTAAGAACTGAGTTTTCTAATAATCTTTAAAATATTTTTATTGAAACAGAAATTCACATGTCTTTCTTTTTTTGGAAGAGAGGGGAGCAGCTTTTCCATTTGTTGTATTTTAAGAGGGGTGGAATTATTGATTTGCCATTACATTTGTCCCATTTCCATATAAGGTTAGAAAATGTATGATTTTAAAATCATCTTCAAAGTAATAAAATGATGTTCCAAATTAGAGATAGACTTATAAGTTCCTCCAGAACTTTTCATTAAAAAATGGAGCCATTTGCCTGCCTACACTGTTAATGAAAAGTAAAAAGCACTTTTTGGTAAAGGAAGTGATTTCTAGTGTGTAAATTTTATTTTTTGATATAGGATATTTGTTTGTCATTATCCAGCCCTCTACTTTCTCGTAATATAGATGTAACCACTTTTTATTAACTAAATATATACTAAACTGTCTAAGTTCAGCCTTCCTTAAAGGATTAAATGATAATAAATGCAAAACACTCTAACTGTAGCACACTGTTCAAATGTTTACTCTATAAATGGAAAAACATATTATGAATTCCTGTTTTTAAAAATGACCCATAGCCACTTGTGTTCCAGAACTAGGTCATATTTTTGGAGTGGTCAATATATATTTTTTGGTCATATTTTTTGGATGGTCATATACGTATTTTTTATAATGATGCCTGCAATTACAAATGATTTTTTCTGAGACCTAAGAAACTAGACTTTATTTTGTTAAAAGAAAACATATTCTCCTAGATGAGTGATATTTTCAATTATTCTTTTTTATAATTAAATGTAGATGTTAGCATATAGGCATTGCTTTATATTTGGAAGGTTTGGGATTCATGGGTAGGAAAAGCTCAGAAAATAGATTTCTTAAAAACAAAACTGCTTCTTTCATAGAATCTGTTTAAAAGACACTTTGGAGCAATAACATTTTTTAAGTAGCAAAGAAGGTTGTTTTAAGTAACGGGGGAAAGACATGATCTTCCATTACAGTGACAGCACTTAGCCATAATCACCATGTCGGGAACATTTTCTTTACAGGTTAAAGACAGTGAGTAAAAGAATTTACTTGAGAAAGCGTGAGACGATTTTGAATTGTCTGGTCCTGAGATATTTATCAAGAAGGGACCAGTACTTCTCAAAGAACCATAAAGAACCATTAAGGGGTTATTTTTTTTCCTGCCTGCCATCTTTGAAATTGCTACCTTTGACACTGGTACAAAATGGTAGCTATTAGTTTTAGTGGCCGAGCAATTGATTCTAATTGTCTTCACTGTTCCCTCTTTTCTATCACAGAATCGGAAGACTTTTTGATGGTACAGAGCCCATTGTTTTGGACAGTCTCAAACAGCACTATTTCATTGACAGAGATGGACAGATGTTCAGATATATCTTGAATTTTCTACGAACATCAAAACTCCTCATTCCTGATGATTTCAAGGTGAGGGATTCATGTTAAATTACCAATAGCATAAATATATGATTTGTTTTGATGTGCTCCCCCTAAAGATATTTCTAGTTTTTTATTTTTAACATATACCAACTCAAGTGGCATCAGAGGTCTCTGACTTGATTATACTTTCTTTATAAAATATAGTACATGGTCAGTGAAGTTTTTCATTAGCCAAAGAGGACTTTTTATTTAAAGAATTTAATTGCAATTCATTTTAACACATTGAAAATAAGTTGGTTAAATCCAAAGCTTATTTTTGATGTCTTAGTGAGGTAGAGAATAAAAGGAAACCTCCTTAGCCTAATAAAGGCTTTTTTCTCCCAGAATTTAACAGAAACATTATATTTAACAATAAAATTTTAGAATTGTTCTCTTTAAAGTTAGTATAAGTATTCAGCTTCATCCCACATTGTGCTACCAACTCTAGTCAATGGAATTTGATAAGAACAGATAGAAACTAGTGTTAATATTAAAAGGGAATATACAAAAATGTAATCGTTGCAGCTGTTAATATTCTAAATAAAAGATTCTAAAGAATGAACTAAATACTATTAGAATTAATAAAGGAGTCATTAAAGCATCTAAATTCAGGATCAATATATTACAATTGATAGCTTTCCTATAGAATAACAAGAGCCAATCATAAGATATAATGGAAAAATATACCATTCACAGTAACAACAAAAACTATAACATCTAAGAGTAAACCTAACAAGAAAAATGTGAAGCCTGGTTAAGAAAACTGCAAATGTCTACCTAAATTTTAACAGAAAAGTTGAATAATGAAGGGACATTCTATGTGCCTGGATCAGAAGCCTCAATCTTGTTAAGATGTCAGTTGTCCTTAAATTATTCTACATATTCAATGCAAACCCATTTTAGTTATAGATGGTTTTTAAAAGTGAAATTTGATACATTTATAAAGTTTGTATAGAAGAAAAAAATGTTTAAGAATAGCTAAATAAATTATTGTGGGTAGTAATAGTGGTGGTAGTGGTGGGTAATGGTAGATGTGTCCTACTAGACATCAAAACATACTGTGGAGCTACAGTAATTAAAAAATGTGATGCTGATAGTGCTAAAATGTATAAGTAACTCATTGGAGAAGAGCGGGGTCAGATGGGCGTGTGCATAGAAATTTGATATATTATAAAGGTGGTAAAAAGAAGAAATAATCAGTAATTGGCACCAAACAACTGGTATTGAGATATTTGGGGAGAAATGTAAAGCCAGAGCCCTATCCCATATCATAAGTTCACAAATATTTCAGAAGTAAAAATAAAATTAAAGCTGTAAAAGTATTAGAAAAAAAAATAGGAATTTCTAAAAGTATAATTTTTAGGCAGAGAGGGCCTAACTAAGCAAGACTTAATACCCAGAAGGTATCCTTTAAATTTTTTTTAAATTGAAGATACCATACACAAGTAAAAGACAAGCGTCAGACTAGAAGAAATAGTTGCAACAGAAGATCAGTATCTATTGTAAAAGAGCTCCTAAAAGTCTATGAGACATAAATGTGATGAAATCACTTTTAGATATAACAAAAAATTCCTAAAGAAAAAAGTAGAAATTTCCAATAAACACTTGAAAAGATATTCATTCTTTCTATTATCAGAGAAACAAAACTTAAATGAGATAACCCTTTTTATCCATCAAATTGGCAAAAAAAAGTATTTTTAATTGATAAAATACAGTCTTGGGAATATACAGTATAGATGAGAGTGAAATTATTAAACATTTTTGGAAGGTAATTTAGCAGTAGTTTTTAAGTTTTCAAACATAGATATTCTTTGATCTAGCAATTCCATGTCTATTAATTTACTTTGTAGGAATATTCATGTAAATATGCAAATATATATGTACAAAGGATGTTTAGTGTAGTCATTTGTAATAGAAACAACTGGACACAACTAAAAAAATATTCAACAATAGCAGATGGTTGCAAATATAGACTATTTATACTATGGAATGGTTTAAAATAATGCGGTAGCTCTATGTCTGTTGATGGGGGAATCACCAAAATTTTATCATTCAGTGA